TAACCCCAACCAACAAAAAACTAAACATAAACACATAAACAAACGCAAACATAAAATAAACGCAAACCTAAACGAAAAAAAAAACAACGAAAGCACAAACACAAACGTAACGCCAAACAAAAATGCAAATACGAAAATAAACACAAACACCAACACTAACGGAAACATAAAGACAAACACAACGAAAACATAAACATAAACATAAGTACAATCGCCAACACAAACGCAAGCGCAAATGCCAACACAAACACAAACACAAAATCAAACACAAACATAAACCTAAACGCAAACAGTAACCAGGAATATAAGACAAACTTAAATGTTAACATAAAAGCATAGTGCTCAAAGTATAGCCCAGGGCGCCAAACAGCACCCTGCCGGGGCAACGGCTGATCCACCTGATTCAACTTGGTAAACAACTAAATTACTCCATCTTATCCGTAAGCTATCAAACAGTTCAAACCGAATGTCGGTGCCATAGCAATCACGGGAATTCCCGGAGAGCTAGAGGATGACCAGTTTCGAATTAAATAATAGCCATTGTAACCCTTCTTATACATTGTCTATCGCACAGTTTAAAACAAACTTAGGCACCATAGAGCTCAAGAGAATGCCCGGGGCGCTAAATTGCACCCTGTCGGGACGCCAAACTGATGTTCTGCATTTGATTTGTAGTGCAACTATAGTAACACTTTTTATTCACAGCCTATCGCACTCTTTAAAATAAACATTTGCACCATAGCGCTTACAAGATAACACAGGGCGGCAAATCGAACATAGCCGGGGCACCGGCGGACACGCCTGATTCAATTTAGTGAACAACTTTAATACCACAAGCTTGTCCGCAAACATAGAGGACATTTAGTAGCGGCTTCTTAACTGTTATTGATTAAAAATAATTAGTAAACAGTGCAGTGCGTTCTGTGTATAAAATAAATTAAAGCCAGTATTTACAATAATAAAAAGTATCCCCCCCCCACCCCCGATATAATATTTTTTCATAAAGATAAGTTAAAAAACTTTTGTGATCAATGAAGGCAAGTAATTAAAAATAACACTTAAATTTTTTTTTTTGAAAGATGATTCAAATTCTTTGACTTTATTTTTTCCACATGACTTTATTTAAAATGATACGTTTAGGAAATGAAACTTGTTTTACAAAACCTCATATTATAATAATTTTTCTAACCATTATTTTAGATAATAAACACTTTAGGCACCGTGCTCTGTCCGCTTTACGCCTCATACAGAGCCACATAAACCATTTGAGCTATATGTATGTATATATATATATATATATATATATATATATATATATATATATATATATATATATATATATATATATATATATATATATATATATATATACAATGCAAAAAAAACACAAACGAAAACACAAACGCAACACACACACAAACACAAAAGAAAAAACAAACGTAAATAGAAACACAAATAAAAGCACAAACACAATGCAAACACACAAGCAAACTCACTGTTTTTGGTTAAAGTTAGAGTTGGATTTATGGGTTATGTCTGTATTTGACAAACATCCATGCCGGGTATAGAGTCCTTGATATGACGTTACGGATCCACATTCAAAATGACAATCTGTGCTGTAAAAGGCTGTGATACAAGAAGTTGCAGATCTAAAGGAATTCGTTTACTTCGACAGCCAAGAGTTATATGAAACTAAGGTGATAGAGATCGACAATTAACAGAACGTAGACGCTGTCAATTGTTAGCCAATATTTATCAAAGTGGCGTGAGTGAAGCAGCGGCAAATCAAATGCGAATATGTTCTCGACACTTTGCTTTTGTTAGGGACAGTAAACAATAAACTTCGTTTTAATTAACACAAGACTTCTGTTAATAAAACAAATACGCTTGACATTCACCTACGTCAAAAAATATAATAACATTTAATTGGAATATTTATTTAATATTAAGATATAAAATCTAGCTCAAAATCTAATCATGTTGTCCACGAAACTGGCTACGCTAGGTAGACACAGAATCTAAAATCTACTTATTCAATTAAATTAAACTACAAGAAAAATTAAATTTAATTAAAAAAAAACATTGAGATCTATATTCGATTCAAAATAATTCAATAATTAATAAAAACAAATAGACATAATAATAAAAAAAAAATATAATTGTCTCAAATATCTAGAATCTAGTTGTAGATTCTAATTATTTTAGTTAGCAAACAAAATTATCTGAAATTGAAATAGATTGTGTGACGAGACTTAAACCTAGAATCCGCTCCTTGAATTTAATTTTAATAGTTGTTACTATTTTTGTTTTAAAAGGCTTTAATAAATTAATTAGTCCTACCTAATATGTGTCTAATAATATGTATCTGATACTGGATTGAGGTTAGTTAAATTTAGAAGCAGATTAGTCATACTGATTTCACCATTGTTTCCGTGCTGCGCCTTTAGGGTAATAAATTACATTAGAGATGTTATCTCTTGTCGGCTGAGATCTAAGAGCAGCAATCTATGTTACCTACAAAGAGATGGAGTTTTATGGTGAGGGCTTGGTATTATGTAGGTAAAAAAATTTGAGGGGGTAGCAATTGTATGTGTCTGATAACTTCCCTGCTTAACCAAGATTGACATAAATTACATAACATGCTACACAAATGGGTTGAGATCTAAGAACATCAGTTGTTGTTACTTCAGAAGTAGATTATTTATTGAGGTTTTTGTAGGGGCTAAGTGGTCTAACGTTAGATACTGTAGTGTATATATATATATATATATATATATATATATATATATATATATATATATATATATATATATATCTATATATATATATATATATATATATATATATATATATATATATATATATATATATATAGATATATATATATACACTATATTTTCATGCATTAGTGTGGGTAGACGACCAATTAGAACTTGAGATCGAGCATATAATAAAAAACCACTAATACCGCTAACAAGTTGCATCAGTCATAACTGATGTTTATAACACTTCAAATAATTTTTTTCCTACATGTTAAAGAAAAAAATCCTATTGATTTGTGTCACAATAGCGATGACGCAATCTGCATTATTGTTTCAGGATGCTAATTGGCGGTATGGGTTATCCTGTGAGCACTATTGCACATATGTTAGTATTGAGAAGCCATGTGCCGTACGCGGTGAGCCTGCGGTAGTGTAATAGGGGGCTTTTTGATAACTCTGATATTACTAATGATACGTTGTACATGTTTTTAGTATGCACCAATCCCTATTTCGACCAAGGATGTGCCTCTAAGTTCCAGCGTAAGTGCCAACCCGAGGCCTGTAACAATGTCGAGAGCTCATGCGTCGAGTGCTTCTCATCACGAGCGTTTTGCTACAAAGGTAACGTATAGGATCCACACATTTTGATCCGTGGGTTCAATTGTAAAACCAGAAATAGCAATATCTTCATCTATCTATAAAGCAATGTATGTGTATCTCTGTGTGTGTGTGTGTGTCTTTTATACATTACTACACCTTATTTTTATGAAACTTTCGGAAGTTTTTTAGAATATTCCTGGGGAGGTGTTTGCGAGAATTAAATTCAAAAAGTCGCAGTGGTGACCCCGGCAGTGCGATATTCAATTATTCTATAAACATGGTATATAAAATTAAAGTCGTTTGCGGTTTGACACCAATCATCCAACCGCCTTGAAACTTTGGGGAGTAGATGAAAACACTAAAGGTGAGGATTCCTTTAAAAAAAAACGTTTTTAATTTCGCAAGGGTGCGATTTTTCTCTATATACAGTATTAAAAATACAAATAGGATGCGGTTTGACACCGTTCATCCGAATGCCATGAAACTTTGGATACTTGATGAGAATACTCTCGAGACGTTTTCTGTGAAAGAGGAAGGGTCTTTTGTCAATACACGGTTTGGCGCCCAGAGTTCTTAATCGGCTATCTTAGCACTTGATGTCCGTTATCATAGCGTGTAGGAAGACTACTATATTCAGCGTTAATACTTCAACCCTATTGTGAGAAATGAGGACCTACGTTCGTTTAAAAAAGGGCTATACACTAAGGACATTGTGTCTTTATCAATAACAATAATCGTTGACTTTATCGAATCAGGCGCGTCCTCGCAGGGGGGTGATATGGTGCCACAAGATTACCCGAGAGCACTATGGCGCGTACGTTCTTTTTCAAAAGCACGATCGGATATGGATACGTTAGGGCTTTATAGTCGTTTAATAAATTTAACCAGTCGAGTTTGCACTTGCCCCTGCAGGGCGCAATTTGATGCCCAATGGTATCCCGTGAGCGATATTTCAATAAGCTATTAGGCTCTCTGGGTTATCTTGTGAGCATCAGGGCGCTATAGTAAATTTAAACAGCCAGTGACCGTACGCGGACCCCCTGAGGTAGTGTAACCTGGGCGATCACCACAGTGTGTTCTACCTCACCATGATTTCATGCGGTAGGTAAACAAGTGCCCCGATATATATATATATATATATATATATATATATATATATATATATATATATATATATATATATATATATATATAATATAGGCGCAGGCATTGTTAACATTTAAATTTAAACTCAGTATTAGAAACAAAAAGCTCACACGTCTAATAATACATGATTGGTAACGCATTGATAGAACGCTTCTTACATATATCATCAGATTTTCTTCTATCCCGAAGAGCACGCTAGTACTAGTAAATAGAAGGTAAACAATAAAAACAGACAGTACTATTGGTATGGAAAATATCTATATATATAATTCTCTTCACGGAGACTATAATCACCACGCAGCTTAGCCACCACCCTCATCCCAACCTGTCAGGTGAGCTGTGGTTCACCCCGAATGTTTACAATCGTATAGTCGGGTTAGGAGCAGATAATTTGGAATTAACCGATTTGAAACGAAGCGGAGGTAACAATTTCTGATTGATCTTTTAGCCATACTTTTAGACTGTCTCAAGATTGTTGAAACCTATTTATAGACTGCGAACATGGAACCTACGGCCAGGATTGTGACTTGAAATGCAGCGTCAAATGTGAGCATCAGACCTGTCACAGCATCACAGGCAGGTGTTTGAGTTGTCCCCCTGGATGGCGGGGAGACTACTGTGAGCAGGGTAAAACTTTTTTTTTTTGATGAATCTATTTCTAAACTTTGAGGATATTTGAAACACAAGTTAAGAATTTTTTAAAACAATGTAGCTCTGATATTAGCCGTCGCGTAGATATATATATATATATATATATATATATATATATATATATATATATATATATATATATATATATATATATTATTTATATATATATATATATTATATGTGTGTGTGTGTTTTCTACACGTAAAGCATTTGGTATGTAAATTGCCTTGAGTATGTATAAACATACTTAAGAACTGTTTCGAAATTTGATAAACATATTTTTTTGACTTTCTCAAAATGTGTTTAAACATACTCAATCTCAAGATTGTTGAAACCAATTTATAGAATGCGAAAAAGGAACCTACGGCCAGGAATGTGCCTTCAACTGCAGCGTCAAATGTGAGAATCAGACCTGTGACAGCATCACAGGCCGGTGTTTATGTTGTCCGCCTGGATGGCGGGGAGACTGCTGTGAGCAGGGTAAATTATTTTTTGTGTATTTCATACAAGTGAACATTTTATTCTCTAACTTAACTGATATCATGGTTTTGATACGTATGCCGTCATTAGGTTTCGTTTCAGTATTACCAGTATTATTATTAGTATGTTTTAATATAGCGGTTTGATACCAAAATATTATTACACTCATCAAGGTAAAAATATAGCATATTAACTGTCTCGAGACTAGCTAAAACATTTTTCTGACTCTATCAAAATATATTTAATCATTTTTAGACGGTCTTAAGATTACATAAATTGCCTTGAGTATGTATAAACAGACTTAAGAACTGTTTCGAAATTTGATAAACATATTTTTTTGACTTTCTCAAAATGTGTTTAAACATACTCAATCTCAAGATTGTTGAAACCTATTTATAGACTGCGAACATGGAACCTACGGCCAGGAATGTGCCTTCAACTGCAGCGTCAAATGTGAGAATCAGACCTGTGACAGCATCACAGGCCGGTGTTTGAGTTGTCCCCCTGGATGGCGGGGAGACTACTGTGAGCAGGGTAAATTATTTTTTGTGTATTTTATACAAGTGAACATTTTATTCTCTAACTTAACTGATATCATGGTTTTGATACGTATGCCGTCATTAGGTTTCGTTTCAGTATTACCAGTATTATTATTAGTATGTTTTAATATAGCGGTTTGATACCAAAATATTATTAAACTCATCAAGGTAAAAATATAGCATATTAAAGTGTTTAGACGGTCTCAAGACTATCTAAAACATTTTTCTGACTCTATCAAAATATATTTAATCATTTTTAGACGGTTTTAAGATTACATAAATTGCCTTGAGTATGTATAAACAGACTTAAGAACTGTTTCGAAATTTGATAAACATATTTTTTTGACTTTCTCAAAATGTGTTTAAACATACTCAATCTCAAGATTGTTGAAACCTATTTATAGACTGCGAACATGGAACCTACGGCCAGGAATGTGCCTTCAACTGCAGCGTCAAATGTGATAATCAGACCTGTGACAGCATCACAGGCCGGTGTTTGAGATGTCCCCCTGGATGGCGGGGAGACTACTGTGAGCAGGGTAAATTATTTTTTGTGTATTTTATACAAGTGATGCATTTGTTATGTAGGCACTCTCAAGCCACATACAATTACATCATAGCGTATAGCTAGCCTTAAGCTACATCCGTATACAAGTAATAACATGATACAAACAGAATCACAGAAACTGTTTTCCTTTTAGCATATGCTCGGAGTCTTTATACGGATTTTACTGTAGAGTTTTAAATAAAAAAAAATTGTCTTTGTTTTTCATTTTAGCTAATTTTAAAATGTAGTCGTTTTGATCGATCTGAAACTCTCGCGCCTATCATTTAGCCGATTTAGCTGTTTGAATGTTTAGGTTTTGCCTCTGGTGCTTCAAGTGTGTCTCATCTAGTGATAGATGTTAACTATTTTTAAAATGGAAATTTCTTTTCCATCCCTCAAATTTAAAAAAAAAAGATTATTGGTTTTGGTTTAATTTTAATTTACTTGTTAACTTTAGTTTTTATTCTTCCTTTGTTTAGTTACTCATGCTCAAGATAAGCCTATCTATAGAGATCTCAGTGACACATATTTAGGGCAAAATAAAGAATGAGCTAAAGAGGATTTTTTTTAGATCTTACACCAGAAGAAAATCTGTAAAGATTTAAGTATTTAAATTAATTTATTGCAACTTAGTATTTAAATTAATTTATTGCAACTAAAGCATTTACACAGTAGGCCCTATATAGGCTACAGTTTCTATTTTAATAGAATTCATACTTTGAGTGTGGTTAAATAAACTAGTTTTTATATATAAGTTGGCAATTTAAATTTTATTTGTGAGCATATCCTATACAAAAGTTATATATATATATATATATATATATATATATATATATATATATATATATATATATATACATATATATAGCCGATTCATTTATCCATTTTATGAAAAAAATGAGCCAGATATAGAGAGCCAAAGTTCCATAACATTGTTTTAAAAACAGTCATCGTTTTTCAAAAAATTATTAATGTTTATATAGGGAAAATTTAACCCTTTTAGAACCACTTTAACCCTTTAACTAGAACCAATTTAACCCTTAAACTTCCACAGAGTGTATCGACACAATTTTCGGGCCCAACTGCAAACAACAATGCGACCCTGATTGTGTGCCCGAGTCTACTGAGATCAAACGCCTGTGTGACGCCATCTGCGGAGATAGTGTTTTAAGAAGCAAGATTCTAGCTGACCCAAATGCCGAGGGTGAGTGTGTGGTCGAGACACGCTTGCCAAGAGAAAGTTTGAACATCCAGAACAAGGAATCGATTTGTTTTCTAACATAGTTTTTGACAAATTTAATTATTAATTTATACATATTCCAATAAATGAAATTGGTTGTTGTTTTAACGGGTCTGCATTTTACAGGAGTAGATACAATACCTTGTACGTAGTGTTTCTTTCAATCGAACTTTTTTCATCGGGGGCGGCGTACTTGAAATTTTCGGAAGGGGGTGGGGCGGACTAAATGTTCCGGGGTTAAAGCATATATTTTCTATATGAATTTCATTTCAATTTGGGGGTGGGGGGGCAGTAGACTTTCTTCAGTCTCCCCAGTAATAGATGCCTGAAAGAAACTCTGCTTACATAACTAACATCACTATATTGGACCCGATGGTATTTTTATATGAGTATGTTATGTTCACTCGTGTATTTGTTACTTAATTTTTTATTTATGTATTGTGTTTCCATATGCATTTGTATATACATTCCTGTATGGTTCAAGAATGTATATACACCATGTTTAATACATGACACAATGTAAATAATTTACAGAAAACAAGGATGATACATATATACTGTATTTACTGATTGTGCTGTCCGCATTACTTATTGCAATCCTGGTCATCTTTATATTCATACGCAGGTTCGTAGCGCTCTGTAGAGTACTGATTTAACGTGTCAATTACTTGTTCTATTTCAATACATTTGCTATTGTGAACAGACTAAATAAGAGAAAATATTCGAGAGGTCTCGAGTTTGAAACCCGGACAGACGAGGCTTAACAGCTGGTGGGGGGGGGGGGTCATACATAAATGACGTCAGACTTTTTTGACGATTTTTACCTCCCTCCCCCCTTCCCTCCGTCACACGTCGTCATATAATGCCAGACCCCCCTAAAATGACGTCACACAACCCCAATCAAAATTGCAGTTTCATTTTTTTCTAAACATCGATATTTTTCTAAAATCTTGTCTGAACTCTGTCAAAAAAGAGTATTTTAATCAATTCCTATTACAATAAATTAAAACAGTTTTTTAAAACTCGAAATAACGTCTAAAATTCGTTTTCTAACATTGCTTTTTTTTATAAAGCAAAAGTGTGACGTCACACCATCTGAACCCCCCCTCCCCCTCATCCCAAGCCGTCACGAAATTACGGACCCCCCCCCTCCCCCATACGAGTGTGACGTCATTTATGGACTACCCCTGAGTACTGCTACTCATCTGGGATAGGCACCTACAAAATCAAACAATTGCTGCCTTAAAGTTTGTTCTTGGTTGGACAAAAGCTATGGAATCAACCAAAAAGAAAACCACAAAAAAAAAAAAATAAAAAAATCCAGGGTCATCGGCCTAAATAGCGCAGGACAAGTTGACACGAAATATTTAATAGAATTAAGAACGAAGCAAAAGAAATATATATATATATATATAGATTTCCTTATAAATATATTCTTAAAGACATTTCCTCCATTTGTCTAGAAAAATGAAAACAGTTAAGACTGAGGCTGTCCCAGGTAAATTCTATTCTGTTTCATTTTATTCTGTCTCTTGATTCTACCAATCTCATTCTTATTGTATTGTATACCTGGCTGCTTTTTATTGTTTTAAAGCATACATCCCCTCCCCACACACATAAACACACACACATAACCACAAACACACACACACACAAACACACACACACATACACTCACACGCACGAGCAACGGCTCACCTATAAGCATACATAAGCATTTGTTTAAGCACATATATAGGCATATACATATGTATATATATATATATATATATATATATATATATATATATATATATATATATATATATATATCTATAATATAAGCGGGCTGAGCGTGTGTCAGTCCTTCCTTCCTTCCTTCCTTCTGTCATCGCTATAGCTTTTGGAACCATAAAAGTAAACATTCGCACGATGCTGTGCTTTTCAGTGCACCGCAGTGTCTTATTATAAGTAGTAGAGTAGGGTTTGTTTATATAGCGGCATAGAGCTATTTTATAATTTCCACTGTGTTTACTCTTTTGCATAACTTAAAGAAAATATTAAATACATGCACATTGCTAAAACATATTAAAAGGATCAATGTCAAATATCATTTTCGTTTATATTCCTAGAAAAAGTGGATACATTTTAATAACACAATAACAGTGCGGTAGAAAAAATCAAATTAATTTAACTCTTTTCTAATTTGGACAAAGGAGGTAATTTAAAAATACATTAAACTCACGCTAATAAAAAATGTGAATGCAAATATACGTTCGTCATAGAAGGAATTAGTGTTGCAATAATATAATTAGCAAAATGTGAATGCAAATTATTCGGATTTATAAGAGGAAATTATTGTTAGAAAATTATAATTAGCATGGATTGATAAAAGGCAATCACGTTCATTAGGTTCGCAATGGTTTTAGTTATGAAACTCTATTGTAAATTTTTAAAATTATTAGTACTGGAAAAATTTTCGTAAAAGGATAAAGTGAAATATTGTAGGTAAAACACGGATATTTTAAATACTGCCTATTATTTATGCTGATTTCTAATTATTATTCTATCTTTCGGGTTTTATAGGAGAGGCGTAGCGAGGGGGCATATGTCCCCGAGTGCCGACCTTAGGGGGCGCCAAAGTGGGTTGGAAAAAATTAGCGAGGGGGGGGGGGGGGGTGGAAATCGAAAGTTTTAGGGCGGGGGGGGGGGGAGGGGTGCAAATCGAAAGTTTGAGGGGGGGTGCAAATCACCGGAAAGGGCGCAATTTGGCGCTACGGGCTAGACTGTGAGCAATATGCCTGTATGATTGCATTTAAATTGTGTCTATGTTATGAGTGTTGTGTTTGTTTTTTCGTTTGTTTTTTTTGCGTTCGTTTGTGTTGTGTTTAGTTTTGTTCTGTTCCCAAGTTGGTACATTTAAAAAAGATTTACCGTGGCGGAGCACGGGATGCAGCTAGTATATATATATATATATATATGTGTGTGTGTGTGTGTGTATGTGTGCGTGTGCATGTGTTCTATTTGGGTTTTGTCTTTATTTCTAGAAAACTACCTTTGGATAAACTTCCGTCACCTGTATATGCATTAATGTCGTGTATTAGTATTGTATGTTTTGTTTATTTCCGAACGAAACCACCAAAACAGATACGTCAGTACCCATCGCGAATCTAAAGGTCTACATACTGGGACACAACAAGGAATTCTTTCTCAACCAGTTCAAGGTAGTCACTAAAAAGTTTGAATAATTTTTTTCATTTTTCGTTCCTTTGAAATTTTATCGTGTGTTGACTTCAAGTATATTTTTAAAATTCTTAAAGACAGCTAATTTTTCTGTATTGATTTATATTATAACAGTATTTATATCCCACAGTCTATACCAACTGTGTATGATGGTGAAAAAGTTGAGAAAAAGTACACGGCTGGTACCTGTAAGTCGTTGGTTTCTTATTACATCGTCACTGTATTATGAATGAAATGTGTGTGAGAAAATAAGTTTATGTGTGTTAGTGGGTAAAGCATGAAGTTATCATGTGAATGTTGGAGGCCGTAACTTAAGTCTAAGTGGGATATTAACCCTTGATTTACTGAATTAGTGTCTGAATTAATTTTTTTTCTTAAAATAATAGATAATTATAACAAAATATTGTATACGCGTAACGAGTAAATCAGGGAATATATAAGTATTATAGTGCGTAACATAAGTATAGAAGGGTTTGACAAAAGTGACAAATAGTTCTAGAATAACGTGACGGAATGTTTGCCATCAGACCAATGTTCACTGTCCTATTAATTTAATTTTTTTATTTTTCTTAATTTCAAATTATTATTTTAAAATACGTTTAAAACATTAACAATCAAGAACTAACATCCCCATTATACATACATTTGTTCATATCTATTTGAACACCTTTTACACCATAAATGACCATTGGTCTACATCCCCAGATGACCATGCATGCATCCACGTCACACCGTGGCCCGAGAAAAAGCCTGTCAATTTGCTCAGCCTCTCATTTCTGGCGGTGAGGCGCGGATGTTTAATATGTATTGTTTTGTTTTTACTTTAGTTAAATCTTCCGTCTCTGGTGGGGTTCTTGTTGAATCGAGTAACTCAATCTTTCCAGAAATTTTTATTTCCAATGACAATGCAAGAGTATATAATTTCAAATCTAATTAGATATTACATCATTAATTATTTTAAATATATTTTAAATTTTTCTAGAGTCGGTAGCGAAGTTAGCTGTAACCACTTGGGAGAGGGGTGGGGGGGGGGGGGAGACTGGTGTGATGTAATCGTGAGTTTACACACCTGAGACTTAGTGACCGAC